CACATATATATACATACCTCTATAGGTGTGTGTGTATATATATATATATATATATATACACACACACACACACACACACACACCTATATATAGATGTACACACACACACACATATATAAAATATAAAATATATTTTCAAATTATATATTTCAAATTATTATTATTATTACATTTATAATTACTGCATTGTTTTTATAGATTCTCATCTCCAGGTTGTCAGAAAAATGACAATGAAATGAAGCCCAGAACTTCTCCAGCCCCTCCTTGCCAGGATCATAATAAAGCAGGACAGGTAAAGTGGCTTCAGATAAAACGCAGTTGAAATCTTCTGTTTCTCAAAGACAGACTTGGGAATCTCTCTTTCTTCATTATAATTTATGGGTATGGGTCAAGTAGTCCAAACCCCAAACTGGACTGTAATGAATCTATTATTCAAGATCTACTAGTTAACAGAAATAGGGTCTGGAAATCCATTTCTAATTTTCAGTTGCTATAAATACTCCAGGTCAAGTGAGAGTTCAGTAAGTCCTTTTGATTATCTGTGGGATCCATTCTACAAATCTCATTTTGCTAATTGTCTCAAATATGTCCTTTGATAAAGTATGTTTCTTCACATACCCAGCCTCTGGAGACCTTCTGAAGAGAATCAGAAAGTAAACAAGTAAAATGTAAAAATTAATTTGTCCTGAAATCTGGGATTTGTAGGAAATGTGTTATTTATGTTTGCAACGAGCACAGCGAAATTCCCCGCTGTACTATGGTGAAGAGAGGAGGAAGAGAGAGATCGATGATGAGCGGCTCATACAGCAGTACCAAATACTGAAGGACCAAGAGGCTCTCCTCAAACACCAGGTAGTCCAACAACTCAATTATAGAGTGTTTAATATGGGGCAGTAGAACATGATTTTACAACACCATTTAAACTGTCCCATCATATGCCTGTGCTATAACATATCTAATAATTTATTTACTCCTGGGCTAAAACTTAGATTGTGTTCAAGTTTTCACTACTAATAAATAACACTGGGAGGACTATCCATGTATATGAATGTTTGCATATGTTACTGATTTTTCCTCCACAAAGACTGACTTTTAAAGGTAAAACTGTTGGATATATATTGATTCATTTTTATTTCTGAAAAAACATAATTATGGTCAAGGCTTTTGCCTTTAAGATTCATGGCTTATCTCAAGCAAGCAAAGACAGAATGGCACCTTTACATTTGCTCCCATCGGATTTCTGTGGTTGCCAGTAATTGTCCTTTCCTGCATTGGTGCTGACACCTTCCATTTCTTCCCAGGATTCTTATAGTAGTGATGCCTAAAGCTAAAGGACAGGAAAAACAAAAACCAAAAACCAAAAAACAAAAACCTTCCCAATGCACTTTTATAAATCCATGAGACATCAGAAAATACTATTATCTTCAAAGGCAGGATTCTACCTTAGGTGAATTATTTTAATATACTAGAATTTAAAATTGTAAAAGCTCTATTTCAAATCAAAAACTTTTTTTGGATAATAGATGAAACGTCTGGCTGCTAGAGAACAGAATCAGAAAAATGCTGCCTATAATCTTGGAGTTGCTGAAGCTATAAGAATTCATAAGAGTGAGAAACCGGAATTTTATGTAAGAGTCATTTAAAATTTTCTATTGCCACCAACTGCCCCAATTTTGAATATTAGGATCCAGTCCTTGTGTTGTAGATTGCATCATTTTTTAAGTGATAGAGTTGAAAAGTGGGTCATGCAAGGTTAAAGCTTTCATCTAGGTATTGTCTAGTTTCTGCCTCCATCCCATTCAAATTCACAGTTAAGTTCCTATTAGTCACTGCAGCTCTTGTTAAGTATAGTAATTCTCAGCCAGGACCTGAGACAGTGGTGGGCAGCAGCATGCTGGAGTCCAGCCTCAGGATCTGAAGAGAAAACCAGCAGCATCTTTGTATACACCTGTATTATTCTATGAGTTACCTCAATATTAGCTGGTCTGTAGGTTGAGAGCTAGACTAATATTAGAAATGAAGTCATACGTTCTGATTGAGTTTATTCTAAATTATTAATTTCATTTTTTGGTATTCTAGCATAAATGAATTGCTTCTCTTTCATTCTAGAAATCCTTCCTATTTGATAAAAGGCCACTCAGTCCTGAGCTTAATGCTTTTAAGCAAGAAGAATATTCCCAGAGTCTGCTGAAACAAATGGATAACAGACGGGAAAAAGAAATAAAGCAAAGACAAAACAGAGAATTGATGGATCGCCTAGAGCAAGTGCAACTCACAGAAGAGTGAGTCTGTCATACTTGCTCTGATACACAGATCCACAATTTTCACATGAAGTTATTTTCTGTGTAGGATTGAATCAGCATTGGTAGTTTCATTAATGTGAAAGTAGCCAACTGAGTTAACACACAGTACCCAGTTAACTCACTCAGTTAACAAACAATACCCTAACATAGCTTATCATTAGAAAAATGAAAAAAAAAAGATTGTCATGATTATCATTATAGTAATGATTGCCAATCTATAATTCCTATAATTATCGAGTGTCATTTTATGTTTTATGGTCACTAATGCTGGTAGATGGAGAAAAGCATTTATCTGGGTGAAGTATCATTTCCCAGCTATTAGATGTTCAGGTGCCACAGACAAAGGTGAAGTTTTCAGTATGAAGGTGTGTCCCATAAAACCTGAGGGCAGGGATATATGGGGAATGCAGGAGGGACTGGAACCAGAGACTAAAAAGCCATGTAGAGTGGCTTTTCCTCTGCTTATAGCCACAGCTCCTTAGTTGACACTGTTTTTATTCCAGCTCAAACTTCAAGAATGTTTATCTCAATTTGAAACTTTCAGGAAAGAGAATTGGATTCATCCTGATCAGTTTATCTGAAGTGTCAATGCCATGGGGTTCATAGAAGTGAAAAGGGGCCCATGCTTCTACTGAGGCCACCAGAGCAATTGTGGAGGCTACCATAGTGTTAGCAAAGACACCTAAAACAAATAGTAAGCTAGTTTCTGTGACCAAAAAAAATGTGTTTCTATAAAATGTGTATATTTTATTACTTACTTTACAGACCACATGGAATCCCTGGAGACTGCTTATAATAAAATTATAATTTATAATAGGGTTGGTCACTTTTCTTAAAAAAGGGATCTTCCTTTTTAAAAATTTATTCATTAATTTATTTTAGTTTGACAGAGGGGGATGGAGAGAGAGAGAGAGAGAAAGAGAGAGAGAGAAAGAGAAGAAGCTGCCAGGTCTGGGACTCAAACTGCAGTCATCCATGTGGGAGTACAATACCCTTAACCACCAAGTCACCTGCTGACCCCAGGAATCTATATTTTTCTTTTTAGAGAGTTTTTTGTTTTATTTATTTATTTATTTATTTATTTATTTTTTGCTATAGAGTGTGCACACTTGCCAGAGACACAGAGAGAGACAGAGACAGAAAGTAAAAAATCACCCCTCAGTGGGGATGGCCATACCAATCCCTTCTCTTCCATTCTCCTCTTGAACCTTGGGCATGTATGCACACATGCCCTGCACAAGTTTTTTTTGAGGTTTTTTTTTTTTTTTTTTTTTTTTTTTTTTTGCTGTAGGACATGTGCACTCACCAGAAAAACCGAGAGACAAAAAGCAAGAAATCATCCCCCAGGGGGGATGGCCACGCCACAATCCCTTCTCCATTCTCCTCTCGGGATTTTGGGCACACATACACATGCGCCGGTTGTCCTGTCTGCCCTGTGTTCAACACAGTGTCAAATCCCTCAGCCTATGGATTTGAATGATTGTTACTATTCATTTTTTTTTTTTTTTTTGATTGTTACTATTCTTGAAGTGAAGGTTCACAGAAAGAAACATAAATTTTTGTTTACTAGGCTCTCATTAATATTCACTAAACATATTTTGATATTAATGGAGTACTAAAGAATCTGTGACACTGTGCCCCCTAACCTTCTCCTGTTTTTTAACTGCCAGACTCGCTGCACAAAGAGCCAAATATTTAAAAGACAGGATGGAAGAAACACAGTGTTATAAGAGAGCACTGGATGCACAGGTAAGGGGACAACTTTTATTTTCAAGTTATGCTGGGCCTAAATATTATTTTAAAAATATGTAAAAATACTGTAATTCTGTTATCAATGTGCTTACGTGTTCTGCATTTGGTTGTGTTTGAGCCTCTCACTCCTTCTCACAAGGTATTGGTAATTTACTATATTGTAGAGCTGTGCATAAAGTTTACTCCTTGGTAGAGTTATAATCCACATCATGTGTGTCCCTGTTTCAGGTAAAGAACAAACCCTCCCAGCTGCCCGTGTTTGAGCCTGACTCCTCTGAGCCCATTTTTGGTAAGAATGAGAGTGAACTGATGGCAGACAAGCGAAAGAGAGACCAGAGTTATATGAAGCATCAGTTAGAGACTGCTGCTAGCCACAGGAGAAAAGCCATTCTGCATCAACTCATGGACCAGAGGCGGGATTTGCAGATGCTTCAGCGGACACAAAGAGAGTAAGAAGGATCCTGATCTTCCTCCTCTTCCTTCCCTCCACTCCTATCTCCAATCTCTTCCCACGTCTTTTTCTTCTACAACAGCAGAGAAGTAAGAATAATGGCTAAAACATTGAGGAGTTACTTGTGCATTCTAACCTCAAGAATAATAGATTGATAGGTTGATCAATGTGCATGCAGATAGCTTTCCTCCTATTTTTGTAAATGAAAATGAAGTCTATGAAATCTTACATATTACTCTGCAAAGTAACTTATTTTTAAGGAATTATTTAATTTTATTTATCATTATCTTTTTTTTTTTTTTTTTTTTTTAAATTTGACCATTCATTTTTTTTTTTTTTTTTTTTTTTTTTTTAAATTTGACCAGAGAGAAACAGAGAAAGAAGGGAGAAGTGAGAAAGCAAGCCACCAGATCTGGGACTTGAATAATAGCCATGTGGGAATCCAGATCCTTAATCACCACACCACCTGCTGGCCCCAATAAAACAATTCTTTAACCTTATTATGAATCATTAATTTATATCCAGACCAGTACATATATCCTAGATTTATTATTCTTCAATAGCAGCATAATAACCTTAATATAGGTACACTGTTGATGAACTCTTTTTTTTTTTTTTTTTTTGAGGGGTTTTTTTTATAGGGGGGTTGCACTTCCCCAC